TTTTTTCCTCGCGAGATCGGGCCGGCCTGGCCCTATTTTGATTGATGTACCTAAGGATATTCAGCAACAATTGGTGATACCTGACTGGGATCAGCCAATGAGGTTACCTGGTTACATGTCTAGGTTACCTAAATTGCCCAATGAGATGCTTTTAGAACAAATTGTTAGGCTTATTTCTGAGTCAAAGAAGCCTGTTTTGTATGTGGGGGGTGGGTGTTCGCAATCGAGTGAGGACTTGAGACGATTCGTGGAGCTCACGGGTATCCCCGTGGCAAGTACTTTGATGGGTCTTGGAGCTTTTCCAACTGGGGATGAGCTTTCCCTTTCAATGTTGGGTATGCATGGTACTGTTTATGCTAATTATGCTGTGGACAGTAGTGATTTGTTGCTCGCATTTGGGGTGAGGTTTGATGATAGAGTTACTGGAAAGTTAGAAGCTTTTGCTAGCCGAGCAAAAATTGTTCACATTGATATTGATTCAGCTGAGATTGGAAAGAACAAGCAGCCTCATGTTTCCATTTGTGCAGATATCAAGTTGGCGTTACAGGGTTTGAATTCGATACTGGAGAGTAAGGAAGGTAAACTGAAGTTGGATTTTTCTGCTTGGAGGCAGGAGTTGACGGAGCAGAAAGTGAAGCACCCATTGAACTTTAAAACTTTTGGTGATGCAATTCCTCCGCAATATGCTATCCAGGTTCTAGATGAGTTAACTAATGGGAATGCTATTATAAGTACTGGTGTGGGGCAACACCAGATGTGGGCTGCTCAATACTATAAGTACAGAAAGCCACGCCAATGGTTGACATCTGGTGGATTAGGAGCAATGGGATTTGGTTTGCCCGCTGCTATTGGTGCGGCTGTTGGAAGACCGGATGAAGTTGTGGTTGACATTGATGGTGATGGCAGTTTCATCATGAATGTGCAGGAGCTTGCAACAATTAAGGTGGAGAATCTCCCAGTTAAGATTATGTTACTGAATAATCAACACTTGGGAATGGTGGTTCAATGGGAGGATCGGTTCTATAAGGCTAACAGAGCACACACATACCTGGGGAATCCTTCTAATGAGGCGGAGATCTTTCCTAATATGCTGAAATTTGCAGAGGCTTGTGGCGTACCTGCTGCAAGAGTGACACATAGGGATGATCTTAGAGCTGCCATTCAGAAGATGTTAGACACTCCTGGGCCATACTTGTTGGATGTGATTGTACCTCATCAGGAACATGTTTTACCTATGATTCCCAGTGGCGGAGCTTTCAAAGATGTGATCACAGAGGGTGACGGGAGAAGTTCCTATTGAGTTTGAGAAGCTACAGAGCTAGTTCTAGGCCTTGTATTATCTAAAATAAACTTCTATTAAGCCAAACATGTTCTGTCTATTAGTTTGTTGTTAGTTTTTGCTGTGGCTTTGCTCGTTGTCACTGTTGTACTATTAAGTAGTTGATATTTATGTTTGCTTTAAGTTTTGCATCATCTCCCTTTGGTTTTGAATGTGAAGGATTTCAGCAAAGTTTCATTCTCTGTTTGCAACATCCACTTGGTATCTGGAGATTAATTTCTAGTGGAGTAGTTTAGTGCGATAAAATTAGCTTGTTCCACATTTTTATTTCGTAAGCTATGTTAGGCTGGGTCAGATTGGAACTTCCTCTTTAGGTTGGATGTAATCACTATTTGGGCTTTCTCTTAATTTCATTATTGAATTGTTGGCTTTTAATCTGAGCAAGTTGATTTGCAGCTTTCTCTCGAGTCCTAGGAGCAATATGTTATCTCTGTCTCCTATTTCCTAGTGGATAATCTTATGATGGAAATTTGTGGAGTTAGGAAACTGTTGACTGCTAAATTTCTCTTTGTGAGGCGTCTGACAGGTATGCTTTCAATCTATAGCAGTTTGATCGGACTTTGTTTGCGTATAACAATATTACGCAAACATGCACGTGCTTTTTAAACAGTAAAATGTGCTTAGCTACCGACATTACATCACATATAACAGGTATATGTATATCTGGCGCTGTGCTTTTAAACAATAAATTACATTTTTGTATTATGCACTGACCAAACCCCATTTATGGGGTTTGTTGTTGTGTTATGCACTGAATCTTAAACATTCAAGCTTCATGAGAAACTATTCTTTACGGCGTTTAATGTTCTTTCTACTGAACAACCGAGTCTTTGTACCTAATACATATTGTAATTGATCGCTAGAAACTTGTCAAGTTGTTGATTTAGTAATCTATTTTCTTATAATGAAGATGGAACTTATCATTGCCAAAATTATATCCTACTTTTTTTTCAAGATTACAAATTCTCTAGAAAATCATTTCATGTGGAGTTAGCTAGTATCTTTAAACATTAAGTAATTATCTCCCGAGTTCTGCCTGCCTCTTATATTTCTTTGGTGATTCCTTTTTTTTAGGGGTGCTGTGCTGGGGGATATTTTGCGGGAGCAATCCTTTTTGCTGAACTACTTATATTCAATATATTAAGTATTATTGGTTTATTTCTTTTAAAATCCAGATTTGATTTCACAACCATAATCGGGTAATTCATGATACCTATGAATATTTCTATCAAATTCTTAATGCTTCTATATAAGCACAATTGTGATTTTACTCGACTTTGAGCATGTCTTCAAAGTTGAAAATTTAGGTGTTTCTTGCATGGTGTTATAGCTGTCGAAGTGGTGTTAGGGATGAAGAGTTTTGCGGATGAGGGAGAGCTCTGCGTTGCGTAGAAGGTCACCAAACATGTCTCTTCTCTATATTTCTACTAGCATCGCGTAGAAGCTGCTCAATTTGTTGAGGGGACCTATATTACCGAGGAAGATACATCCGTTTTTAAAGTTAGGAAAAAACATTATTATTCATTAGTTAGTTACTATGGTTTTGGTTGATCTTGGTCCATCATAATTAGGTTTTCATCTTCTTCTTAATTTCTCTCATTTTTGCGTTGGGGTGTCTTATTGTTTTCATCACAAAGGGAAGAAGATCCATTAGAGCATCACATGTTCTTTGAACCTAAGACAAGACTCTTTGTTTAATCCCCGACACATTGTCCTTCAATGAGGTTTTCTCCTAGGGGATAATTTCTAGGGTCAATGACAAATTTACTTGCAGGTGATTAGTTGTAACAGTAAAAGTCGTATGTCAGGGAGAAAACAAGTAGTATTATTAAAATTCGTAGTTGGACCGACACTTAAAAATATGAGAGGACCTTTGCGAGAGTAAGGATTACTTCGGCTCTTACGTGAAGAAGAAGAGAGATCCTAATTGCATGCAAAATACTACAGTAAATTAGACTTATAAGACACTAGCCTTAGGTACGCGCAAAGCGCGTATACCTATATCAATAAATATATATTTTTTAAAAATTACGTAAATATTATTAAATAATGTGTTTTAGTTAAATATTAAAAAATATAAGTTCCTAAAATTAATGCATGTTAATCACATTTAGCTAGCTCAATAAAACAACGAAATCCTACTCCACATAAGTTTTTATATACCTTATTATGATTTATGAGGAGTGAAATATCTTCTAAAAATTATTGTGTATCTTTATTACCAAATACTATAAACAAATAACACATAAAAAAATAATTTTACCATAATTATTTAAAGATAACCAAATAAATTAAAATTTTAAATCTTTTGATCATTTAGAAATTTGCGAGTGATGAAGTAGAAGTATAGCTCCTAGAAAAATATTAATAAATAAGAATATAAAGTTTTAAACAACCAATATTGAATTATAAAAAACAATGTAATACTACACTAAAAATTATAGAAAGCTATCATTTAAAGAAAAATAATAATGATAACTTCTTTTGAATAACTTTTGTCTTATGTTACACCCTTAATGCTTCAAACGTAGCATTTTTAGCAATTTAACTTTTAATACTACATTATAATAAATTTTTGCTCCATCTTTCTTTTATTTCTTTCATGGCTGATGCTCTTTTTGTGAATAAATTTGTGTATCTTAAAAGTTTTATTAACTTGATAAATAATTTTACTTACCTAATGATTTTGGAAAAAAAAAATGGATTAATTTTTTTTACTAATTTATTAATTCAAAGACTTGATTATTTGTTGAGATTTCATACTTTTGTGATCGTATAGAAGATACAAATTATTCTAAACTTTTTTCCTACTCGAACAATATATTGTTCGTGTAATATTTTAAAACTATATTTAGTAATTAAAATATATATTTAGTTAGGTAAAAAATCTCTTACTTTTAATAGTACATCTCGTTAGAATTGTAAGTTCCCTACTAAGAAGCATGAATGTGAAATATATTTCCACTGAAATTCGTCAGATATACAAGGAAAAGAAAACGTTAATATTACTCCTATTTCCCCAAATAATATCTACGTTAAAGACCTTAATACAATAAATTTTGTCCATGGTTGAAAAGAAACTTACCTTTTACTTTTTATATTCTCAATATATTTTATTCTTATTTAGTTGATTTCGAACTCCTAAATATTAGGTAATAACTAAATTTTTACTTGATTTTAAAATGCTAAATATTAGGAAAGCAACTTAAATTACATATATGTCCAATGTGAAACTTATTTTAAAAGGGTAAAAAAAACGAACGACATTTCGCTAAGGGCCTTCGTGCTTTTAATATAGTATAAATATAGATTTGGAAATTTTAGAAATGAGTGATAAAAGTATATGTTTCGGGTCACATAAAGGTGAAAATTATTGATGCTTGGTAGATCTATAATAAAGGCATTGATTAGGAGGGGCGAGATTAGCGTTTTTAGATAACATAGTTGACAAAATAGGCAGTATTTTCTTTTTCCTCTCAACCATTACGAGATGGGCGATATTATTAATAACTCGGATGATACTGTTGTCTTTAAATTTTAGAAAAACTCATTTCACCGGATGAAAAAGAACTCTAGAAATTGCCGTCTTTAGACTTCTTGCTATATGGTGGCAAATAGTCTTTGGTTATAATATCACACCATACACATTAAATAATTGCTGTAATTTGAAATAACGCTGAAGCATTGAAATAATTGATTTAATTCTTACAGAGCCATATTATAACAGGATTTTAACATGTATTGCACATTTCCTTCCTAATGATAAAAAAGGGTATAATATCTTACCGAGAATATAGAAGGCAAAAAATGACTACTAATTAAAACTAACAAAAGGAACAATAATATAGGGGCTTAAAAATCTAATGACCATCAAGATGAAGAGCAACATGCCTTCTTGGGGGCAGGCTCCTCTGCCCCAACAACAAGAGTCTTCCCTTCTTTGATGTTAGCAGTTGCTGGCTCCTCGGAAGAAAGTGGCTTCTTACTGATTATCCGATAGATTTCTGAAAGAATCGTCTGGAAAGCCTTCTCTACATTTGTTGCCTCCAATGCAGATGTTTCAATGAAAGAAAGGCCTTCTTTTTCAGCAAAGCTTTGAGCATCCTCTGTATCAACAGCTCGAAGATGCTTCAGATCCGTCTTGTTTCCAATGAGCATAATCACAATGTTCGAATCTGCATGATCCCTCAGTTCCTTCAACCACCGACTAACATTCTCGAAGGTAGTTGGTTTTGTCACATCATATACCAGAAGAGCCCCAAGAGCACCCCTATAGTAAGCACTTGTAATGGCTCTGTATCTTTCCTGTCCAGCTGTGTCCCAGATCTGAGCCTTGACGGTCCTTCCCTCAACCTAGACATATATCATCAGAATTAAGCAAACAAAGATTTTTATAACATACAAATTCTGCAATTACCAAAAATTGTAGAAGTACCCATAGCAACAAGAACACAAGTGTTATTCAATGGAGGGTCAGCAAGGCGAATTTAAAGATAGAATGCACTTTGAGTGGTTTTCCGGAATCATGTGTGACCTCATTGAACTTACAAGTTGCCTCTTACTCCTTATCTTAAAGATAGAAAGCACTTAGAGTGGTTTTCCAGAATCATGTGTGACCTCATTGAACTAACAAGTTGCCTGTTACTCCTTATTGTAGATATCCTGGCAACCCCATTAAAGGTAGGTAGCATCTGTGCACCACTGCACCAGTTGTGCAGTCAACTAGGTCCTTCCAAACTTTGAATATTAGTAGAATGCCCCTCTTTATTTGTCAACTAGGTCCTTCCAAACTTTGAATATTAGTAGAATGCCCCTCTTTATTTGTCAACTAGGTCCTTCCAAACTTTGAATATTAGTAGAATGCCCCTCTTTATTTGTATCATGAGTAACATTCGACAGGTAATAGAGATAAATGATAGCTGAACAGAAATGACTAACAAGTAAAGGCAGTTGAGCACATACTAGAAAAAGGCAGGATTAAAAGATGATATGCAAATTGTAGAAGGTAATTGTTTGATAAAGAGGTTAACAGTTTTTTTGTTCTTGAAATAAGAACCCCAAAATTTCTTTTTACCAGTATAAGAAGCCTTGTGGCATAATGACTTTACGTTTCCCGCAGTTTGAAACTTGTAATACATAGCTGGCATCAAAATCAAGCAAGTGATCCTGCAATAACATTTGCTTTAACCATAATGGCTTTTTTCCCTTCACTGTTTGTCATTATCTTTCCCCATCAAATGGTCACAAATAGGAGCTTCCATTACAGTAGAAAGTCAATTAGATCATGATATGTTTCTAAGACAATTGCAACATATAGCATCTTTGGTCATCTTTGTTAAACAGAGAGTAGCTAGCCTTGGTGGGGAGGAGGGGAAGTTGGGGTTGTCAATCCTTTAGAACAAGCACACAATTTAATAAAGACTCATTTCACTAAGTTTGAAGGACAACTAGAAGTACCTCTGGCCAGATCGAGCTTTCTGTCTCTTTTACCTCTTGTAACAGTTCATGTCCTTTTTACTAACAAGGTTCTTATACAGTTCACAAAGATTAAGACTGCAGAACAGATGGGGAATGTATCTCAATCATTCAAATGTCTGAATTGAAATTTTCAGGACAATGGAACCATTCACAACTTTGATAAAAATGGACAGACACAGGATATTCATTTCATTTCAGCATCAAAGAGTCTCTCTTCTTCTTCCCTTTCCTTGCATTACTTCCAACCAAAGCTACACAAAGCCTAAAGGGCCACATCAGCCCCAGACGGATTTCTCGGTTATCAAAAAAAAATAATGACGAGTATATCTTTCCTTTCTTAGAAGTAAAGAGAAAATAAACAACCTAGCAGTGCGCAAGGGTTTCACAGATCTAGAAAAAAGGTCATCTAACCCTGGTCTCAAAGATCCCAAAAAGTAAATACTACGAATATGATTCAAGCAAAAGTACAATGGTCTATTACCAGTATGACTATATCCCATCACATACCCTAACACCATGCCACCAAGCAAGGAAGGAAGTCAGTTCTGGAAACAAAGCAATTAATGTTAAAGGAACCTAACGCATCTACTTGAAGAAAAATTATAAGATCCATGCAACCACAATAATAAATAATACTTGTAGTACTCTCCATTAAACTCAACATAGAAGCACATTCACTCTTCGGTAACTAATTTTTAATACAAGGTCCATATCTCGTAGAAAATAAACTATACACAAATATATGTCTATGTACATCTCTAGATCTTAGCCACAGAAAAAAAAAGTTTGCATCGAACACATAAACATGTGTCTTTTACATAAACTTCTGACACTCAATACATCAATTTGCCACTTAATGCATCGACTAGTGACTCTTACTCTTATAAAACTAAGTACCTCCGTGCAAACATCGAGTAACATTAACAAGTGGAGTATGTACACATGCACTAGTCTAATTCTTTTTTTGTTTTCCACCGTATCCGCATTGGGACAGACGTAGTAAAGGGCTCCCAGGCTCAAGTCTGGTCAAGGACACTAGTTTAAATCGCACATCGGAGGAAGCGAATAAAGTAATTATAACAAGGATTAAAAGAAAAGGAGGAAAGAGAATAGGAACCTGAAGAGTACGAGTAGCGAATTCAACGCCGATAGTGGATTTGGACTCTAAAAGGAACTCATTTCTGGTGAATCGAGAAAGCAAGTTGGATTTGCCAACTCCTGAATCGCCGATTAATACAATTTTAAACAAGTAATCGTACTCCTCTTCCGCTCTTCTCGCCATTTCCTCTTCCTTTTGAACCGCTCCTAGTTCCGATTCAGATTTATGTAAAGCCTTCCATTGATGATGATGACACAGAAGCGTGCGTGAAGCAGATGAATTTTTTATGACGCAAATGCCCCCTGTGTAATGAAATTACTAATTTACCCTTGGATCTGTGGGAAGAGACGATGTGCGTTTCAAATTGTACTGTTTTTATCGAAATACTTGGAATTTTTTGAATTTCCCATTCTCTGTAAGAACCAAAAAAGGAAAAAAGATTGTAACCAAATGCCGAAGAAAAACCGTCGCCGTCTTTTCAAACAAAAAGACTTTCCGTCTAAGAAAAACAAAATGACGGGATGTGAGATCAAAAAAAATTATTTAAAAAAAAATATATATATAGGAGTGTGTGTGCGTGTGTGTATATATATATATATATATATATATATATATATATATGAAAATTCACAATGCTTCATATATTTTTAACATAAACTTTACGAAAATCCCGTAGAATCAAAATATATAGTTAAAATTTATATGAAAATTGGAAGAAATTTTGGTATAGTTTCTTTTAATTTTCTAATAGTTGTAGTATCATGCTATTGGACAGAATGAATAATTTCCAAAGATTTTCATGAATCATGGAAGCTTTTCTTTTTAAAAAAGTAGTCGGGACAAAATATAAGATGTGTCGGTCGAGACTGAGATAGTTCGCACACGTGAAGAGGAGAAACATTAATGCACATGTTAGGAGGTGTGTGAGAGGTTGGTGAGAAAACATAGGGGTATGCCAAAGAAGTACAAGAGAGACGTGATTAGGCAGGATATGACGTTGTTTCAACTTACTGAGGGCATGACCCTTGATATGAAAGTTTAGAGGTCGAGAATTAAGGTAAAAATTTAGTAAGCAGTCGAGAGTTTACCCTTTCTTTAAGAGTAACACTCTTGTACTTTCATATTCTTAGAGCTCTATTTACACCTTATAGTTTTGTTCACTTTACTTATCTTATTTTTCGTGTACTTTGTTTCCTTCTTCTTCTTCTTCACTTTTTCTTGAGCCGATGGTCTATCGGAAATAATCTTTCTACTTTATCAGGTCGAAAAATGTCCGCATACACACTACCTTCTCCAAAACTCCACTCCTAAGATTAGACTGGTTTATTAATGTTGTTGTTGTAAAAAGTAGTACTATTACTTCTTTTTTTAATAGAAAAAAACTTAAACTCCTTAAAACAACCCAAAACATGTTGAAACCTTTAAAATATTTCCGTCAAATTTATCTGACTATATGAAAAATTAAAATGCTTGAAGTTAGACATATTATTCGAACGGTAATGAAGTATTAGACATATTATTCGAACGGTAATGAAGTACATTAACAATCCAAAGAGGTATATAGTCTAGAGTCTTTAGTGTGACATTAGGAAGCCTTTTTTTTTTTTTTGGTTTT